ACTGCTAAATTAGGGACGGCTAGCGCAGATAGCCCTCGTGTAGCTTTGCTCGAAATTCTAAACAAATAAACACATTATTTCTGTTCATAAAATAACATAACAATTCATGTAAAAAAGAAATATAAGTTCTGATAGCAAGACCAGTAGATACTTTTGGTGTTGATACAAATAGTCTATTGTTACTAGTAGTCTAGGGAGATTTGTCTAGTATTACCACTAGTTTAGGGAGATTAGTTTGTAGAGATTACTCTATCGTAATAACAGTAGAGTTTGAGTGTTAGGTGACTTTCATAACAGTTTTCTATAGCAATTAGTCTGGAGTTAACTATATTTTCAGAATGTAAAGAAATATAGCAAAATATACTGAAATATCTGTGGTAAAAATCAATTTACGTGATTTTTATCACAAATATTAGGCCTATTGGTTCGCCAACTTTCAACGCTTAAACTGTAACATATAATTATTTTTATTATCAGATACTAGGTTATATCTTACTTGAATACTTTATAATAATTGCACTTATATGGTAGTTTAGGCTAATAACCATGACAACAAGTCAAAATAACGTTAAAGGAGGAGACGATCATCAGTAGTTGTGACGTACGATATGTATCAATACTTATTACGGTGCTGGTGGACCTAGTGAGTTGTGAATTTGCGTGACGTTATTATTACAACTGTATTTTACGTTTAAATACAGTAGCTTAGTAATCCAAATAAACATGTCTCTATTAGGACAAGTATATTCAGGCCTATTGCCTGATATTTTGGGTCCCTGAAATACAATTCGAAAACGTGGGGTAATTTTAATAAAGTAATTTGACGTGTATTTGATTTTTGATTCCAAGTCAAATCCAAACCAACAGTCGAGACAACAAAACAGTGAACAAAATAAGATAAAATGCTATTAAGGTTATACTATTTAAAATCATTAAGTTACGTATTCTCAAAACCAGTGTTTACAGTATTGTAATGAATAATTCACGACATACGTCACGCTTACTCGCAGATTCTTTATATCGTGAATATTATATTTTAGAATAGATAATACTGTTGCGTCAGCGAGGTCACGTGACTAGTGTCACGCCACGTTTCTAGAACTATTTTGTTCCTTCGTGAATG